AGAGCACACGCGCAGGCACAGCAGGGGACGCGGAGCGGAACAGGCAGGGCACAACTCAGGCCAGAGACCGCAGCGCGGCCCACGCAGCGGCAAGCCACGGGAAATATAATGAAGAAAAGATGGAAAACAGAAAAAAAGTGTCCTCGGTTACGCGTAAATCCCATGCGCCCAGCCAAAAAAAGGAAAAAAAAAGGAAAAAAAAGTCGTCCATGGTGATTTTATCGAAGAAAAAAAAAGAAAATTAGAAATCGAGCAGCTGCGGATTGTTGCGTGGCCTTCTGCGGCTTTACAAGTCTGTGCATGCGTGTATAAGTTGCCTGCAGAGGCGCACCGGCTGCCCCGCTGCACGGGCACGCCGCCGCCCACACGCGCCACTCCGACTCCGTGGGGCCCGCCGCCGCACCCGCCCCGTCACCGGTGCGATCCGCGGGAAGCAGCGCGTGCCGAGGCTGCCAGCGCGTGTGGGCGGTCCAAAAAGTAGTCGCAAAAGAGAGGGGAAAGTTCGCCCCGTCAGAGGCAGCAAGAAAACGCTTGTCCGGAGGTAAAACAAAACTTTCTGCGCTGCTCCCGAAAGGGAAGCAGATGGCACACACATGCACAAGCAAAATGAAAAAAAAGAAGAAGAAGTAAATGAAAGAAAAAAAGAAAAAAAGGTCCTGCACGGACAGCAATTACTTAGGAAGGCCCTGCAGTGGGCGCTTGTAAGCCTTCACTCGTGCGGTCAGCAGAGAGCGACAAGCGTCGACAGGCCGAAAAGCACAAGCGGCAGCGCCCGACCCCCGCACACCTGCACAGAGCTGTCCCCGGATAGCGCCCATGATGTCGCAGAGCCCCAGCTCCGGGGCTGTGCGGCGCGGCCAGCCGTACTCGGCGACTCCCCATCCTCCGTCTCAGCCTCATCCACGCCAGCTGCTCCACTCTCTCGCGTCGGCCTAGGCTTCACAATCGCACCGCGCGACTCCATTGTTGCCTGAGTGAGCTCACCGGAAACTTCCGTGGCGAGACCCTCGACTCCGCGCCTTTTCCTCCGAGGGTTTGCCTGCGCCGGCACCGCTGCCGTCAGTGGCGGCACTGGCCC